GAACGTGTCGCGAGCTAAAGAACGAACGGTGAGCTTGGCCTTTTGATCTGAAGGGCAGTTTGTGGACAGAGCAGCTGCTGGAAAACAAGGAAGTTAAAGGCAATGAAACCGCACCGGTATGACACACAACATGACCCTCGACCTCAAGCAAGGGTGGTCTTTCCTCAAAGATAGTCCTGAAAAAGACCCCAGGACCTCCTGTGGGGAGCTGAGAGTCGAGAAGGAGCCGCCGATGCCACAAAGTGTGTTTCCATCAAGGCTTTTTGATGCGCATTTAGAAGTGTCGCATTAAAAATGCGAAAAAAAGTTGGATGGAAACAGCAAAATTCGAAAAAAAAAATCCTCAATTCGCTAAAACGTTTTTACGCTCACTTGAGTTTTTTTTTTTGGGGGGTTTTAGAAAAACATGATGCGCAAAAAGAGAGATGGAAACACTTTTGCCGAATAAGTTGTGACGTAGCTAACATTTACCTCACGTAGCTGATCAGCTGTTCCCCGGTACCGGTACCAGTTTTGGGTTGGCTGCAGCTGCGACTGGCAGCATAACCCTCCTCCCGCTGTTCGCGTCTTCTGAGTAATCCCGTAACGTGAAGAAGATTGAATTTTTTTCTCTACGTCTCCAYACAGCAGTAATATCGCCAAAACTAGTTAATAACAGAATAATTACAACTTTCCTGATAGTAGCAACGCGTTTCTGATAACTTCTCTCCATCATCCTGAGACGTGTGGACCCTGCGACTTTAGCGACGGTTATTTCCTGTTTACTACGCACATGCGTACAACGTAATTGATTCGCTTCAAGCCAATTGATGGAAACTCCGTTTGATTCGCATTTCTTATTTTTTTCCTTTTTGCGAAATTATTAAAATTAGCTCAAAATTTGAATTAAAATTGGATGTAATTGGATGGAAACACGATTACAGACACCCACAGGTTCTTACAACTGTTCGGCCTCCAAACAACCCTCCTTGCTTAGGAAAACCGACTGAAATTCCATCTCTTCCATAAATGTCGCTTTAAACGTGGGAAGAAAATAAAAATAACTGGTTTGCATAGTGGAAACCTCTCATCAGCTGTAATTAATCGAAAGTAGTTTCCACCGTTGACCTTTTCAAACTGCTCTCCATCCTGGGGGTCTGAACCACCAATTAGCTACAGGAGGCTGTCTGAGGAGTGGATGAAAGGAGGAAACTTAAACACAGCTCACGTTTTCTCATCCAGACTGGGAAACAGACGCACGAAAACAGACATTTTAGATCTGTGATTTAAGATAAACATAAATGCGAGTGAAAACAAATTATGTTTGTGCTCTTTAAAAATAGTTGATTATACRCTCTGCTGGTGTGTGTCAGGCTGAGTAAATATACACTTGACTGATAGAGCAAGCTAAAAACAATCTCGTCCCAGTTAATACAGAATTACGTGTTCATGCTCTGACTGTATTGTTCTCCTCCCGGGGGACTACTAGACTGTAACCTGAGACCATGTTATAAACAAGGCAGGAGTCCAGCACAAACAGCTGACTCAGCCACCTGGAAGCCAAATGTCTTGGCTTGCTTATTTCAGAAGTGCTCCACCCTCATCCAAAACAACAAGGATTTATATCCGATTTGCAGGGCTTAAACAGCACACAGGTCCGTGCAGAGMGGTGGAGACAGGAAGGCAGTTGTTTACAGACATGCAATGATTAAAATGCACGGCATTTCTAATGAAAAAAAATGATATCAATCCTGTGGAATTTATTGTACGTTAGCAGCAGCTTCAGTAAAAACATTCAAGACTCAGTTAAATAGATCCATCATGTGCTGTTGGCAAACTATCTTCATTTACATTTCATCTAAGAATAATTAATATTTAACGACAACATGAATCACCAAACTATCTAGTACATTTCAGAAACAATGGGACAAGAATGTCTCTTTACACTCTGTTCTCTGATCTTAGAGATCTGATGAAGTCAGTGTGCAGCTGAACACTGGTGGCTTTAAAGAGGACATATCATGCAAAATCAACTTTTTAAAATGCGTTTTGTTTGGCTGGATGGACAAATGTTCCATTATTGTCACATCTTTTAATTCATTTGTAAATAAAAAGTTGCTGTGCTGCTATAAACCTCTCTCTCAAAGTACAATGGGTTGGTCTGGAAGCTGGGGGCGGGGGGTGTTTTGAGAAACTTACACTGTTTACCACAGATTTTAATGCATCATACTGATTTATTTCTAGGTTAGCTAGGATATATTCTGATTGTCTAAATATCTATTTTCATGATTAAACTGTGATTTAGTCGCTGTGCAATCTGCTTGTGTCACGGTCACCTCGAGCAGAATGTGCTGTGTCTGATATGATTGGTTATACACTCATTAATACATTTACAACACATAGTTATTTTCTCATGAGTCTGTAGGAAGTTTGCTCGAGGATCTGGTCACATGTTAGGGAGTCTGCCCCCCAACTGGTGTCATCATGTCCTGTTTTGAGTTGGGGCCAGATCCTGAAGATGGTGTTCCATGTGGTTACATTTCCTTATTCTTGGCTAAAATCAGAGARAATAAACGTCTGTATTTTGTTCCAGCTGCTTGGTTTTGTATGCCAATCTTCCTTACATATAACATTCAATCTTATTCTGTATTTGTTTCCTTGTTCCCGAGATTTCAAAAGCATTGCAGTTCCACTTCATATAGACTCCAACTGAATGATTTTAATGTGAAAAAGAAGGATGTAAAGCATGATGTCTCCTTTAAAACAACTTAACAAAAAATGGATTTTATCATTATCTAAATCTTGTTAAAATAAGTTTAATAATAATAGGTTTTCATGGGCATGATAAAAATGTTATTTTTTTAAATTATTATTATTGTTTTTATTTTACTGTTTTTTAACCAGGCAATAATGATGGCTGTAGTGATGTTTTCAAGATTGTACAATAAAAACTTAATACTCAATACACAAGCCTTTCTCAGAATCATAGAAAACACAAACAGATCTTAAGAAAGCCCTAAATATACTGAAATGTTGATAATTTGAATTTTTTTAATACATATGAAGCTGGATGTGTATCAGGTTTTTGTTTTGAGTGATGATCGTGTCACAAAAGTCCTCAAAGTGCTTTAATTTTTTGAAACAGTGGGACTCCTTTTTATCAAATTTTGAKACACAGATGTCCTCTTATTCTTCAACATGATGCAACAATAAATATACATAAAATGTTGATRGTCAATGCAGGCCTACAGCTCTAGAAAATAAGTGCAGTCTAGTCAAGTGCAGTTCATCCATTAATTATTATCAGGGTCACAGGGGTCACTGGTGCCTATATCCAGCAGTCACTAACCGTGTTTCCATCAAGGCTTTTTGARGCGCATTTAGAAGTGTCGCATTAAAAATGCGAAAAAAAGTCAGATGGAAACAGTAAAATTCYYGYAAAAAAATCRTCAATTCGCTAAAAAGTTTTTACGCTCYCTTGAGGTGGTTTTTGGATGATTCGCAAAGTAGTTAAAGCACAAAACGGGAGATGGAAACACGTTTGCCGAATAAATTCTGACGTAGCGCATATTTARCTCACGTGACGTTCAGCTGTTTCRGCTTTCCTGCCTCGTCCCGYATGTTATCATAAACGCGCGAAAACATGGCTTTATTTCCCTACYTCTCCTGGCAGCTTTAAACAWAGCCTGTACTAGCTGAATAGATAGAATAATTACAACTTGCCCAATAGCAAGGCATTCACGAAAAAAGTGCTCCATTGTCCCGAGATGATTAGCCTCTGCTAGTTAGCAAGTTTCACTTCCTGTTTACTACCGCAAAGCTTGTCCCCGACGTAATCACGCGTTGCGTAGCCTCGTTTATTCACATCAAACAGTCGAGAGGGAAACTAGATGGAAACAGTCTAGTTTCAAATTTTTATTTACCGGTATTTYATTTTTTGCGAATTTTGAAAAGCTCGATAAAAATTCACTCTAAAACTGGATGGAAACACGATGACTGTGTGAGTGGCGGGGTACAAGTCCATCATAGGGCCACATAAAAGGTCCCCGGCATTCAGCTCTACCGACTGAGCCACCGTGCCACCTCAGTGCAGCTCAAAGTAGCCTGGTAAAAACCAGTCCCTTGTTCTTCGCTGTGCTTGGTACAGAGGGTCTGAACTCTCTGCCATTAAGAAACGATGGCTTGCTGGAGGCGTGGCCTGGATCTGATTTACACAATCGCTAACGTTTGGCAGTGTGACGTATGCAGTGCGCCAGTTTGACTGTGAAGGAAGCTAAGCTAAGAAGCTAACCGATAACTGTGTGCGCTGTAAACTATCCTCTACTGGGAAGAGAGACGTACCGAGCCGAACGAGATGACTGTAAATGTGCTGCAGGCATTGAGAGACAAATTTAATTTAATCTGGAAGCCTTGTCAACACGGACTGGCTTCATGCACTTCCTCTGCTGCCGTTGCTAAACTACAGGCAGACTAAAATGGCCCAGAAAATCAATGTCGTCATTCACAATATATCCTTTTGTTCGTTGATTGGCCCGGTTGAAATTCTACCTGACAAATCCTTGTCAATGGGAGAAATCCCAGACGGAGCAGAGAAGSGAGATTGGAACTGAGTGGAACTGCATAGGAAGGTAAAGCCCAGGCTAAAYTCAAGGTGTTTGATAATAGAAATAGTACAACTTGTTCTTACACATAAAAACTAGATGAGGGGTGTTGAGTCTCATGCTTTTTCTTAGGTTCTTTATCTGGCTATTTTTGTCAAATTCAAAAGAAGCTCAGGTAAAACCTGTCCAACAAACCCTTTTTTTTGCCCATTTTTCCTGCAGGGTCGCAGGGCAGCTAGTGTTTATTTCTAGAGGTGGGGTACACCCTGTTTGATYTTTTTATGCATTTGCAGCCATAACGTGGACAAAGATCTAAATAACACACAGATGCATGAATTGATTTTTTTTTCAATGCATGTGTAAATTATTTCAGGATTCACTTTCCACAAACACACGCTGCCTCCACACATGCTGACTGACCTGTGACGAGCTCCCGGACTTCTGCGTCTACCGTTTTCCTCAGCAGGCGGAGCAGCGCTGGAATACCTCCCGCGTTTTTAACGGCGATCTTGTTGTCGTCCATCGCTTTGCCGTAAACAAGGTTTCTCAARGCTCCACACGAGTTCCTTTGGACTTCGACGACTTTGTGGTCGAGCAGGTCCACCAGGTGTTTAATTCCTCCCAGTCGACCCACCTGGTGAGGAAGGATGAGATTGTGCACACGCTTAAATATTTATATTGTTCTTTTAATTTGTATGTTGAGGAGAATTAAGTCATGCATTTATTCATGCGGTAAGATATTCCACACAGTAAATGTATTCATACTGAACACAAATTATTTGGAAATGTGATGCTAATCTAAGGCAACGGAAACAGCCTTAATCGAAGAAAGTGGGAGGCAAAAAGAAAAAAAAATACATTTTTTGTTTTCTCAATTTTATAAAAATAAAACCTGTTTTTATAGCATAACATTAATAAGTGATATATTGACATTTGGCATAGAAAATTTTAATATTCTTCATGAAGCACTTTCTACATCTTTTCATCAAAATACAGCCTCAGTTACAAAAATGCATAATGCTAAAAAATAAGATTGACCTTTAATATTCATAAGAAAATAACAGTGCAAGTTAATGTAGTTGTCATGGCTGTGGGATTCTCACTGGTGTATAAAATGCACAAGTCATGAAAAAGCGAGTCTGTGTATGGGCTTCTAAAACTGCAGCAGATTTTATATCTACTTCACAAACCTAAATCAAATGACAATAAATATATTAAACAATTTGATCTGAATCGAAATGAACAAATGATTAACAATTTATGACATGGATTATTTGTTTGTGTTTTTACCACAGAAATCACACAAACTCAGCAAAAATAACACAGATGTGTCAGTAGGATCAGCTTGAAGATTCAAAATCAATTTATAAGCATCAAAATAAAGCTGCACACTACAAACATTCTCTCCCTGCACAGCACAATTATGAACATGCACAACTAAACGTGAACTAAGACGAGCTAGACTCCACTGCCTTTTATGATCCCACTTTTATAATAAAAAAAGTTTTTTTTAATGTTTTATATTCTTCAGAAATAATAATAAATGATGAATTTTCTTTAAAACATTGCTAAAATGGTCATGACAAACAAATAAAACAGTTGGATTCAGGGCATGCAAACACTTTGGTAAAACACCTACCTCACTCTTAACTCGATTATCTCCAAAACACAGGTGCTGCAGGTAGGCAGCTGCGTTGGCCTGGACCGAGGGGAAGTGATGCTGGAGCATCTGGATTACCTCTGCCAGCTCCGGGTCACGCCATGCAAACTCTCTAAAAGTAAAAGTGGGATGAAAACACATCAGCGGAGCAACAAACACAAAGCAGCATCTTCTCCTCCCACAGAACTCCGCACCTAAGGGCAAACTGATAAACCCAGGAAATTGTGTTCATGTCCGGTTCTACAGCATGAAACAGCCCACTTTTGTTACACTTGAATTGCTTTTTCTATATAAAGGACTTTAAAGGAAAAATGTGGAGACTGCACTGCATCGAAATGTTTTACATATAAACTTTGTTGTGTTTGCAACGATGCACGATGACTTAATTAGACTTCTCTTCACCTGCAAAAGAAACACACACTCAAGGACAGAAACATGGTTAAACACTTTAAATATTCTACAACTGACCAGAATCCTGGTGGTTGCTCGTTTCTTTTGAGAAGCAGCACAATGACTTGTACAAATATGAAAAGAATCTCCAGCGTGCAGGTTTTTACTGCAAGTGTTAATCCACACCTTTGTGCAATAAGAGCAGACGCAGCACTCTGGTGTATGTGAGAATCTATTGTTAAATAGCCAGGCAGAGTTGAGCCAGCTTAATGACCACAGCCCTGTGCAGCTATTCAGGGGAGTCTCTGTTTGAACAGTAGGAGGACACTGGTGTTGACCCAGCAGAACAAGGGGGTGCCTTGTAAGCACAAGTAGTCTCCCTGAACGATTGAGATGTGCTACAGTATGCTGGTTAATCTACTTGTTACAATAACACAACTTAACACTGAAACGTGACGGTGCTAACCTGGGATCTTTCTGAATGCTGTCTATGGAAGGTGATCGGGTGGCGTCGTCATCCACGARGAGAGGCTGACGAGCGTAGGTCGCGTCGGGGGGCCTGTACTGCGCCGTACGATACGGATCAGCGTAGGTGGCTGCTGTGTTCAGAGCATAGTTGTTTCTTTGGTAAGTCATTGCACTACGCTGGCTGGATGTCCTCTTCAGGCTTCCCACACCTGAAAAATAACAACAKTCAAACATTAACCAAACAAACAAAACAGAAAAAGCACCTGCAAAAAGACGAAGCAACGCAGGCAAAGATCGGCAAACATTTGCCAGCTAAACTCATGGCTTTTGTTAGCTGAGACCTTTACACAAAGCTGAAAATAAATACATGCTGCTGCTCCGACAGACTCTGGAAACTCTCAAACCTGGAACCAATTAATGGTGAGGATAAAACAAAGCTCCCACGGTTGCAGAAGGCAGAGCCATTATCCTTCAAAAACTTCTTCACTTGTCGTTTTGCTTTTACAAGATTGCTTGTAGCCAGAGGGGGGGGGGGTTATTCTGCTGGTGTTCAGGCAGCCCGGGACGAACCAACTCGCTCGATGAGCTGCAAATTCTTTCCTCGCCTCCTTGATTCTTTACAACTTTCCATTCGTGCACTAATCTCGACAAACACAGCTAACAAAATTTAGTAATGCGGATAAAAAATGGTCAAGATTGAGAAAGTTCAAGGATCAAAAAAAAAAAAAATAAAAATAAAGCTACTTTTTGCTTCACTCGTTACTCGTACGATCATTTAATATAGCTTGGTTTTAGGCACAATGTGTCACATACAAAACTGCATAAASAAGCTGGTAAAAAATCCGCCCTCCTTCTGACCAAAGCCACGTGATCTGTGCCAGCATGACCTGCCGTGCCGGCCAGATCTGTATCAGCCATCCAAAAGGAACTGGGCATGAGTGGGCTCGGGCTCCCTCCTACCACGAACCAAGACGTCAACCTGTGGCACTACTCCAAAAACACAKTTTCTCGCATCAGTGCACTTCTATGTCGGGCAGCAGCTCAAACCCACAATGCAGCCATCTCCCCAAACCCAACCATACGCAGACGTCGGAAGACAAATTACAAGCAACACGGCAGAGCTTTGCAGCGTTAGGAAAACTTTTCGAATCCCATTCGTCACCTTCTCAGCAAATAATCGGTATACTTCATTTAACAAAACCTTACACAAAGAGGTGCAGTGCACGCTTCCGGGAACAGCCAATGACGAGGAAATGACCCAGGGAAATATGAAAAAAATTTCACAAAGAAAAACAAATGATCAGATTGGATTTTGCTAATGAAGCAGCTCGTGCAAAGAATATATATTTAACGCCTCGCTAGTTTTATTTCTGAATATCTGTGGCATAAACATGCAGCGGCTTCTTATTTGGGGCTTCAACGCTGCATCAATAGCTTTTATCAAGTAACTTATCAGTCCAAGCTGATCTTTAGTGTGCCACTGGGAAAGCTGAATGAAGTATGTGTGTGTGTGTGTCAGTGGAAATGAAGCATCTGTATCTAAAGGAGATACGATGAAAGGAGAATGGCAACATAAGGAGAGCTGGGAGAGAGAAGGCAGTGGATGTGGGGAACCATGAAGTCCTCTGACTTTTTGTCCTTTTTCAAGAGCTCACTGTGACACATGGGTAATGGATTCCTTTGACGTAGAATGACATATCAGAACCTGCCCATTAACTCGTGTTTCTGCATTTTTTGTCTGTCAGTGAAGACAGGAAAGGAACGTGGGGCAGGGAAATGTGGGTGGAATAGGCCTGTCGCGATAGTCAATAAATCAATTAATCGCACGATAACTTTTTTTGAGGTCGGTAAAAAAAATATGCCGATAAGTTTCATTTTCCTGCTTGTTTGTTTATTTCCTCTCTCTCCCTCTCTGTGCTCCGCTGCACAGGAGCTCCGCT